AACTTAAATTTATTTCCAAATTAAAGTACAGGCATAGAGAGGAAATGAGGTGAAAAAATATATGTATATGTCATCACCTGATCACATAAATCACTTGCTTGACGTTATGGAAAAGTCAATGGCATCCTGCCCACAGAATAGTCACAAGGCTGTGTATATGTGCACATAAATATAGTAGCTGAGGACTGAGGTTCTTGCTCTGCTTATTTACTCTGTATCTCTTACAAACAGTTTTTTCCAAAACTGAGTGGAGACAAATATCGAACATCTTATGGTTCCCATACAATTAGCTTTCTGCCGACTAAACCTCTCCTTTGCATGTGGTGTTTAGATCTAAAAATTTCACAGAAAATATTGTGTTCTAACTGCAGTCACATTCAGAGGACTGACAAAGTACATATCAGATATACCCCAAAAATTTGAAAAACCCTAAAATGTATGTTCTTTTATCAGCTGGAATCTAAGTATGGCATATAAGATTTCCTATTTAAAAATCCATTCTGTAAAAATGAAAGTGTAGAATTCAGTGCCTGCTGATCTCGTGATTCCTCAGCAAATTTAAGGCATTGGGTTCTTTTTGCTTTTCCTCTTGATTGTCAGCCTGCAAGAACAACTTGAACTTTAATATTTGAGGTGGGCTTTTTTCCCCCTTGAATCACCAAACACGACTTTACTTAAAAAAAAAGGAAAAAATTGTTAATGCTTTACTAAATAATACATGAGGCAAACCAGAAATCTGTATATCTGTTCTTACCTATGGTTTTCTTACGAAGTAGTAGAAAATCGTGTTTATAAACAGATAAACAAAAAACCCAGCAACCTTCTTTTGCCAATGAGGAACACAGCTCTTGCTCCAAGTGTTCCTGGGAATGGATCTATTATGAAACATGGTAAGTGTGTTTGTTTCTTTTCATTTTATAAATCATAGATGCCCGTGAATTTGTTAAAAGGTCTGTGAAATTTGACAGTATGCATATATCTATTAAATTCTAAAGACTATCTCAATGTTAGTTAAAATAGTTAGTAAATATATTCTTTACTGAGCGTCTCAGGTCTTGTTAGTAGAGCCCTGCTTTCTAAGTTGAGGAGCTGAGTAACATTTTTATTCCTTCCTTGTTCCATATGTAAATGTGTGGGGATGATATATAAAGAAATAATACACAAGGAAAACTTGGGAAAAGCGATGTCTGTAAATGTCCTCCTTAGATATTTCCAAGGAGGTGATCTGAGAGACAACTATTAACATGAAGTTAGAGAATATGGACCCTGATAACTATTCCATACCTGTTCAAATCTAGTCACAGTCCCCAGTAAGTTGTTCACATGTGAAATAGCTAAAGTAGTTTCAAAAATTGCTTAGTGCCTTAGTTATCTTTTCTGCTTTGGGAGCAACTGACAGTGCCTTCTTCAGTAACAAGCAAAACAAATTTCTGCAAGCAAGTTTTAGTTTGTATTGAAAAAGATTATATATCTTGCATAATCAGTTACAGTATCTCAGATAAGAGATGTTAGCATCTGAAAATGCTGCACCTTTTCAGAAGCCAGCTGCAGCACACAAACGTGGATATTCTTGTGAATATAATGCATTTTATGGCCTTTATTTAAGGTTCTAAAGGTGTCATTACAAGCTACTGTTTATAGTATTTGCAGGGAAGGGAAGTTGATGAAAGTGGTGGAAATGTGTTTTGACTTCTGGTCAGGATTTAATGGTTTAACAGTTAAAAGAAGATTTTTTTAGTTAGTTTATAAGTTTAAAGAAAGAAGGTGGGTGGGAGGAGGGAAAGCAAATTTTTTTTTTCCAAAGTAAACTTTATAAAACTGGAAATTCAGAAAGGATATAATATCTAAATACATTTCGGGTTGTGTTTTGTCAGTTCTATAAGAATTTAGGACAGCATCTTATCAGTGAGAAGTTTTATTTAAAGTGACCAAATTATTTACTTCATGACTCCCTTGGTTCTGCACATTTGTTTGAGGGGACAGAGTGAAACAAAAATAGTATATGAAAGGAAATATAACAGACATAGTATAGGAAAGAACAGGACAAAGAATGAAGGCAGTGAGGGAAAATGGAAGTAGAGAAGGAAATGGGAAAGATTCTTTTTATGCAGTTTGCACATTAGTGTGTGTAGATAGATTAAGGGACTGGGAAAGAAAGCAGGGTTTGTGCTATATTGGCTGTGCAGCTACAGCACATAGTATGCTACTACTGTTTGACAAATAATAAAGAAAATGAAAGCTTGTGGGTTTTTTAAAAAACAAATTAGGAAATTCCACTTCAAAATCACATTGAAAACTTGCCTAAGTGGCAGTTTGAAGCTTTCAGTGTTCAAGAAAGAATGAATTTGCCTTTAAGTTCTGACTAGAGTCTTCAGCTTTCAGGGTATCTTCATGTGGGCCTACTAAAGTAATCGTTCCTTTTGTGCAGCTCCTCTGATCAAGTCAATAGGATTGTTAGAATTAATCAAAGAGAATTTCTTTATTACTTCATGTAAATGAAGAGGTTGCTGGTATCCACACCACAGTGTTTTATTGTGTTGAAGATTACCTGCTATTTCTTAAATGTATTGTTGGCCTACAGTGTAATACGTATACTGTAGACATTGGCAATATATAGTTTATACTTAAAACAGTAGCAGACTGAAGCAAATGCTGAAATTTTCATAACAATCCCCAATATTTATGCCTCCCTGAAAAAAAAAAATCTTTGTCATTATCTGGATCTGACTTTTGATTCTGGAGCAAAGAAATAATGTCGTTTTTACCAGCAGTGTCTTTGCTACACAATAATAAGACCAAAGTCATCCTTCTGCTTTTTATTGTAAATAAACCTTGTGACACTAAACATGTAGAAATCACACTGGGCTGATAGTCATTCTGCTAAGAGAAGGCATGCAGTACAAATAATTTGTATTTCCTTGAGAGCATGAGAGAAACATTTCACTGTTCAATTTCATTTCTGAATTTACCAGTGAAAGTAAAAAGTTGAGAAGGTACAAACTTTTGTTGGAATGGAAATAGATTTAATAGTGATCAAAAGCACATGTAAAACTTCCGGGGGGGAGGGGGGGAGAGGAAATGGGAAGGAGCTTATTTTAAAAATATATTTCTTTTATGTATTTGAATGCAGCAAAATTTTTTCCTTGTAGCTTTCTATTATTGTCATCAGTTGTTGTTGACTTGATTGAAATACAATAATGCAAACTTCTGGCCATCTCATAACTCCAAATGTGACAGTTTGTACATTTCTGTCATTTAGAAATTATCACATGTTCATAAACTTTTCCATTTTTTATTTGACTTAGACATTGACATTAAGCTGGCTGCATTTATGAAGTTTGCAGATACTAGCCTGTGTTCTTTCTCCAAGTTTGATTTTTCACTGAATATTTAAGTGTTCAACTACAGAGAAAAATGGCCATCTGCTAATTTAGCAAGTCGCTATTTAGAATCAGATATTAGATACACTTTACACAGATTTCTTTGGACATTTTGTGTCTTTTAGTAGAAGCTAACTAGTCCTCCCCACTAATGCGTAGAGTTGCATTTGTTATATTACTAAGTCTTATACAGAGAGATTAGGCTCTCTGATATCTATTTGCAACAAAAAGTTAAAAATGAGCCCTCATATTCTGACTTTCAACCTCTGTGAGTGTCCAGCTAGTACCAGTGCACAGAGTATTCCTCCTATACTTTCTTGTCTTTCAGATCTGCAAACTATAGTATAATACCCCCTTGCAGGAATCATAGTGGTGGTATTCTCTCTCCTTGGCATTTTCTGGAGCTCCTGCTGGAGGTTTCCTTCAGGTCGTTTTCAGACACAAATGCAGCTGATACTACAAAACTCCAGCCTGTGTCTACTTCTCTAGGTATCCTCTGGGAGATCCTTTTCAATGTGGATCTTGGTAACAGCAGACTGAAGTCTTCTATTTACCGGTTAAGCACACGCTTGACTTCAAGCACATAAGTACTCGTATGAGCCAGTTATATGCTTAAGTTTGCTAGATACGCATTATATATTCCACTTCATAGGGAAGGAAAGGATTTTTTGATAAGAAGGCAACACTGGAAACAGGCAGGTGTGGTGGTGTGGCAAAACACCTCCCATTCCATCTATAGATGAGAGTAGTCTTCTAACTCTGACCTCTGTTTTGGAGGCAGCTAATCTAATGGTACAATTAGCTGCATAGACTGATGAAGCTGGGCTAGTGGAAGTTCACAACTAATATGCTATTCCATGGATGATTAATTCTGTGGTCTGCACAAAGCCTCACAGGTCTAGAAAAAAGCTGTTAGACTTAAAATCTGCTTTTTCAGAAATTACGGTAGCTGTCTGTGTTAATTTACTTTCACAGAATTTATATTTCTGCACGTTGTATGCTATTGTTTGTTAAGCTTAACTGCTTGGAACATCCAACAGAAAAACTGTGAAGGAAACAAAAAAACCCAGAGCGCCAAATCTATTTATTACCAAATACAATTATAAAATTCAAAGTTATGGAAAAAGTAATTTAAACAGTGTATTCTAATAGTGTACAGCCACATGTCTGAGCTCAGCTTACTTATTTAGTTTGGTGATTGACAGATGCATTTGGTAGCTTGTTGGATGTTTTATAATGAAAGAAAGTAAGGGTGAATCTCACTAATATGACTACTTCTGACTTGTCCGTATCCTCTAAAATGTTTCTTTATTACTTTCTTTGTCTTGTGCTTATGACTTAGGAAATTTGCAATGGCTTGTAAACTGCACATTATAGATGAAATTGAATTATAAATCAAAAGCTTTGGAACAGATGATGTTTCCTCAGTGAATCCCTTTTGTGCTTCCAAAATTAGCATTGTCAATCAAACCAACAGGTGGTATATGGTTATACAGAGTGGATCCCCTCTCACAAGACACTTTCTTTTAGGAAACCAATCAGAACTGGCACTGACATGATGAGGCAGACCTGTCAGCAGAGCTGGGGTATATAAAGCAAAGCAACTATGTTAGCACTTCTGAGCAGTCGTGCATTCCCCGCCTCGCCTCGGGTGTAGGGATTGCAAAAAAACAAAACTACACTGTCAAGACTGTGTAGTTTTGTTTTTATGATTAGAGGCTCTACAATTCTCATGCTGGGATTGTCTAAAAAAATCTTACTCTGGATAAGGACGTCGTTCAAGAAGATTTCGTTGGGCTTAGCCCACTCTTACAGGCACTTTGAGAGATCAGGTTAGTAGCATGTTTCTGCTAGTGTAATGAGTATTTTATCAGTCATTAATAATCCTGATATGATCTATTATTTATAAATTTTCTCACAGGGGGGTATAGGTTTCAGAGGACAGATACAGAGCACTTAAATTCTCTGGCAAGATTATGTCTTAAATTTCTGGGAGTAAATTTTGCTAACACTCAGCAAAAAGTTTTTCCAGTGTATTTATTGTTAAAGACTATATAAATTAAGATTTGAAAGTGCATGGAAACATTTTCTTAACTTATAAACTCATTTCTGTTGGGAGTGTTCAAGGTTATGCTACTGAGAGATAAACTGAGAAGGTCCAAGAATAGCTCTGATAAGATGCACATGGTATCAGCTAAGCGCTGATGACTTTTTAAGGGAATCAACTGCTAAGGTATCAATTACATGGCAGCTCTGGAACACTTGTCTGCTGTCATTCATGGCTGAGAAGGTTATTTCTGGAACATGACATTTCAGATGCATACTTTCAATTCTAATTATACAAAAAGCCTTATAAGATCAGATCTTCATCACCAAAATTTGCCTAGACAATGAAATATATAAACTTTGTGTGAACTCAATGACAATTCTACTCAATTAAATGATTTCCAATCTATTCTGGAGTCAAGAAATTACATATACATATAAGCTTTCATAATGTTTAATTATATTGTCATAATGTTTAATTATATTGTAAGATTATTTCCATATATTTAGCTGAGCTTCAAAACATAGTTATAACTGAAGTAGATGTTAGTGAATTACGTGTGACAGATGTTTGTCTTCATCTTCCTTTCAGAAAACTAGTGTTTTGTTAGGATGAAATGTTGGTCATTTCTTTCTAATTTGAACTCATTTCCTCCCACCCTTGAAGCTGAAAAGCTTTGATAAAAGGCTGTTCCTCTGTCAAGCTGGAACAAGTATCCAGATAATCAGTAAAGGCAATTAAAAGCAGCTCAAAATCCCAATACAATACCCAGTTCTGCCCTTATGCACTTACTGTATGTAGGCATCAGGCACTGATTTCAATGAAGGAAATCATGCCATGAAGAATTTTCACCCCTTTGAAAGGTAGCATGAATTTGGCTCATAGTGAAAGAAACTTCACTTTCATATTAATTTTAAGTTAAGCCTGGGACTGCCACAAAATCAGGCACAAAAGCCAAAGTAAACAACAGTAAATGTGTGAGTGAGATTGACTTGAAAAGATATGGGGTTAACCCTTGTTTAGTAAGACATGATATGCTCTCAGGGGAATTTTTTAATGAGAAAAATTGTAACTTTAATAGTTGTATGATACTATTAAGAAGATACTAGCTACATTTTAAAAAACTGCACAATTCAACATCAGTAAATAAATATGTTCATGCAAATATAAAATACTCCTGATACAGAAGCTTTTCTAGTGGCAGTGTGCTATTTCAAAGTAGGATCTTCTGGCATAGGAAGAGAAAGCAAACTATTTTTCTTTCAGATTTCACATGGATCTGCAGTTGTTCAAACCATCAGTGTCAGTGGCTACCTTATATCCTAGCTCACATTTCGAAGGTGGCTGTCCTCCCATATTCAAAATTCCACTGAGATACTCTCTAAGAAAGAGTAGAATTTTATCTACATCTTTAATGTCAATAAGCTTCTTTGTAAAATGAAATTATTCACTACTTACAGGCTGCTTTTAAAAGAGAGCCTCCTGGCATTTTTTGAATTATTAAAAGCCAAATAGATTGTCAACCTTCACATTTTTTTCCATTGCTACTTAGTGGCCTGGTTGTCTTCCTGTTGGACAATGCAAATGCTTTGCACTAACAAAATGTTTTCAAATCTTTCAAACAAATTTTTACATGGAGATTATTTTCTCTTTAGGTAATGGAGATTAATGGACAAATAGAGGCTAGATGACCTGCACAAGGTCATGCAATGAGTCAAGCAGAACTTTGTCTCCTGCTGCATACTTGCAATGCCAAATCACAGCTTCACTAAATTTAAGTTTCACATCTAACTCAACCAAGTGTGCCCTAAGAGTAGTTTGCTATACAACTTTGTCAAAACCTTCACATTTTATCAGGTCAATGTGATTTAAAACTGGGAAGAGTAAAATGTTATGAAAATAATTACAAATATTTCTAAAATCTAGCAAGAAGGATGTGAATGTAATAACAATTTCACCATTGATATCTAATTATGTTTTTCTTGCTTTCAGAGTGCCTGTAAAGATGACGACAAAAGCACCAACATTTACGCAGCCATTACAAAGTGTTGTGGCACTGGAGGGTAGTGCCGCAACCTTTGAGGCTCATATTAGTGGTAAGGTTTTGATTCATTCCTGCAAGATGATTATTTTTTATTATTATTTTTTGTAACGTTTATGCTAAGAAAAACAATAACACCTTTTGTAGATCATAATCTGATCTGAATGGGTAAAGATCAGTGCTGAGATGTGAATATATATCCACATCATATGGTACTGATCAGCACTGTGAGGTACTGTCAGATACCCACAAACGTACTGCATAAAGTTACAGGGCTTCCCAGGCAATAGCCAAATCATCCTGCCAATGAGACTGGTGTCTAATCCTCATGTATGTTAGAATCATCAAAACTGGGGGGAAATAACATTAGAAGTATATACATACAAACACATACTGTGCTAATAAGGGAACTTCATATGGGTGCAGAGAGAGTGATCTTGTTTGGATGATGATCAGACACAATGAGGAGTCAAGGTGCAAAAGCCAAGACATATGCTAGTTCTTCATCGACCTAGTACTAAGCCTTAGTCTGGCTAAGCTGTATTTCCACCTTCTGTGCCCTTGGGTTTACTTAATTCTGGAGTTCTGGCAGGGGAGTTAAAAGCACAAAACCAGGTCCATATGGCCACTGAAGAGGGTAGAAAACTTTAGTTTGCTATATAGTAGAAGTTTATGGTGATCATGATGGTAGTACAAGGCTGGATTAATATAATTTGCTGATGCAATTTAAAGATGGCACATAATTTTAAAGGACACTTCATTTTGCCAGTCTACACACTATTAAAACACCCCATGCAAACCCCTGAGATAACTTTACCAGATAACCAACACCCTGTTCTAAGAGTGCCTCTGACCTCAGCAGTGACTAAGTCCTGCTGATGGAATTACATTGTCTTACAGGCATTAGCAGTGTGATGATCCACATACCGTAAAACACTACCCAGATGCTCCATGACAGGTGCAAACACATGATCTGTCCAACTATAAAGATCTCTGACATCTATGGTCCACTGTGGTTCATCCCTTGGTCCCTTTGGATAACACTGGCTCACACAAGGTTCACACAGGGTGTTTGAACATGTCCTGTAGTCTACATCCATCATAATTTGTCATGCCTTATTCTGTTATTTGGCCCTCTACTCTCCAGTTAATTGCCCTGACCCCCTCTTTTCTGTACACTGTACATTTTCTGTGAAAGGTTTCTTTCCACTAATGATCACAATACTTATTATTATTACAACAAATACATGAATATATCATCAGAACAAGTTAGGATGCTAATATTATGGCTTAATGTGTGTTTTTGGCTATTTTCATTTGTGTGGTATCATGAAGTACTTGGGAGGGGAATTTGATTTCTAAGAGGCAATACAGTAGTTTTTCTAATGGCATATGCCATATTTGTACTTCAGTCCCAAATATCATGTGAGGCAATTTCCTACTAGCTTTTATTCACATTGTGGGATTCTGGAATATCTTTCATGCCCCAAAAGCATCTACCAAGATTGACAGATCTGACAATGGCTTGGCATTTAGTTTTTCTAATGCATAAAAAAATATGAAAGTCTTATTTCTTGAACTAATTGCATAAATAACTGACTACACAGCTTTATTCTGCTACATTGTCTGCCCTTCCTATCTGTCATGAATTACTGTGAATTTGAAATTCAGACTTTCTGTTTATCTCTGATAACACTGCCCTTTTATATACAAGTCAAGTATTAATAAAGAGCTACAATCTGAATGTGAAGAGCCCAGTTCATCTAAGATTACCAAGAAGAGCTTAGCAACCACCTGAGATATAAAAATTTTACCTGTTCATCAAATGGATTTCAGTTGCTCAATAAAGTTGTCTAAGTAGAACACTGGGAAGAGAATTTCCATTAGGAATCTAAAATCACCATTTAAAGCTAAAAAAACAGCTGACCAGAAGAGTCTTGTGCATGACCCTGAAAACAAAAGAATAATATGTTTGAACAACAAAAGGTCAACTGACTGCTTTCCACCAAACTCAAACAGAATTCACTTCAGAAAAAAGAAACAAAAAACCAAAACATTAATAGCACTTGATGTTAATGTCTACAACAGTCATGTTTTCTGTCACCTCATTTTCTAAAATCATTTAGTATTAGGACAACTACTTAACTTGTTTGGAAGTTCTGATTTTTAGTTTGTCTCCAAACTATTGGACTAGATAATTTTATTAGCAACACTACTTAGATACTAGCAAATAAATAAATAAAAAAATACCCCATGTGCATCAATTCATCTCCCTCATAATTTTGATGAACTTTTATTCCTCAAAGGATTGCCAGACACTATAGTCCACTCATTATTCAAGTGATTTCCTAAGTGCAGTAGCCTGTGCAGTTGTCCTATTGCTCTGTGTATTTTAAAGACCTTTCTAAAAAGAAATTTCTTTACCACTGTGTCGCTGGACATATAGTCGTAGACCTGTGCCTATGTCATTACACTCCACTATAACTGTGTATACGTGAGCAAGTATTATGGTAATGCTGGCATTTCATAGCATCTTAATCTCCTTTTGTCTTCCTTTTTCTTTAGGTTTCCCAGTTCCTGAGGTGAGCTGGTATCGGGATGGCCAGGTTCTCTCTGCTGCTACTCTGCCTGGTGTGCAGATCTCGTTTAGTGATGGCCGCGCTAAACTGGTGATCCCCGCCGTGACAGAAGCAAACAGTGGAAGATACACCGTACAAGCCACCAATGGATCTGGGCAAGCAACTAGTACTGCTGAACTACTTGTCACAGGTATCAAGCAGCTAAAGAAAGGCATCTGTCTCTGCTAGCAATGTGAGAAAGAGAGTGATAGGAGAAGTGTCACAGATAATGAAAAAAGTTTGGATTTTAAGTTCATGATTAGCAAAGAAATAGCAAACCATATTCCTTTTTCTAAAGCAGTCTAGAATTCAGCACATATTCTCACCAGTAATTTCTAACAGCGTCCTTTACACCTTAACTGTATAAAGTTTAACCTTGATCTTGTAAACTCTTAATCACAATTACAAACTTCTGGCTTAGCCCTGTATACTTCTGCTCATGTGATCTGTCACACCAGCTGCATTCAAACTGCTCATAAAAGAAAGCATAAAGTTCTGCAGGATGGAGGCCTTAATGATATTTAATGATATTTATCAGAATAACTCATATAAAGGGCCATACTCAAGAGACTGCACTTACTACCTATAATTATAATTAATGCACCTCTAATTCTAGAAACATGTGCAATCATTGGCACCATCAGAAGTATCAGAAAGTTTAAACACATGAAAAATGTTAAGGGTGTTTGCATTTTGGCAAATCTACTCTTAAAGTTTTGAATGTTTGAGAGGGTAGTATCATCTGTCAGTAGCATGTGAAGGAGAAATAGACCATGTGCACTTCTAGTAATGAAAATATCTAGCCCTTACAGTTCTTTTTAACAGACCTTATTGTTTTTATATTTATTTCTTCAATAAAACTGCAGCTGGAACAGCACCACCAAACTTCTCACAACGACTACAGAGCATGACTGCAAGGCAGGGAAGTCAAGTTCGACTTGACGTGAGAGTGACTGGAATCCCTACACCTGTGGTGAAGTTCTATCGGGATGGAGTAGAAATCCAAAGCTCCCCCGATTTTCAAATTTTGCAAGAAGGAGACCTTTACAGCTTAATAATTGCAGAAGCATATCCTGAAGACTCCGGTACTTATTCAGTAAATGCTACAAATAATGTGGGACGTGCTACTTCAACAGCTGAATTGCTAATTCAAGGTAATGGAGTTGAAGTTGCAAGCCATGAAAATAAGAGAGCATTCGTTGTTGTGATGGTACAATACATACCACTTCATCAAACTTATATCAATAAGTTAATTTATAACTCCTTTCTCAAGAGTTATTAACTTTCTGTGAAAAAGCAGTGTCTTTGGTGAAATTTGCCAAACATATTTGTCTGAGAATTTAAAAGGACTTTTTCTCCAGGACGGGTCTTCTTTAAACTGAGGATACAGTAGACAGAAAAAAGTGTGGGATACTTTCAGTTGTTCTCATTTAGTTCTGTAGATTTCTCAAAGTTGTATTCGTAAGCTGGCTTTGATAGAATAGATATAGTAGACTGCACAGCTGTACATGGTCTTGTAAATAAGCCTGGTAGGGATGAAGACAGTTCTTAAATAGAGGAGAATTGTAGTAGTGAATCGTTCTACCCAGAGCAGTCTTGCTTGGATTTCACCTCAGTCAAGCTTCCAAATGGGTAGCCATTTGAGATCCAGGACAGATTCTGGAGAATCTACAATAAATATGTTTTGTTTTGGTTTATTTGGGTTTTTTTCTAATGACATAGTAACGCAGAAATATTATTTCAACTGTTTTCATAACTATCTGTCTATAGATATTGCAGGAAAAACAGATGGTTGTTTAATTCTTTCTCTGTTTTTTATATACATTTGTATATAGTTAGAATTGACCATTCATTTATTTCTGTAACTGCTTATTGTTTGTTGCTATACGCAATTCTCCTGACCATGTTTTCTCTTCAAAAAGGTGAGGAAGAAGCCGTTCCTGCTAAAAAGACAAAGACAATTGTTTCGACTGCTCAGATTTCACAAACAAGACAAGCCAGAATTGAAAAGGTATATTTTTCAAAAACAAAGCAGGTAATGCTAAAATGTGGATGATTACTTCTGCAGTATCTCAGATTTGTTTTCTTGGTTTCATTGTAGAAGATTGAAGCCCACTTTGATGCCAGATCACTTACAAGTGTTGAAACAGTCATAGAAGGTGTGACAGCCCAACAGCTCCCACACAAAGCACCTCCAAGAATGCCTCCTAGACCTACATCAAAATCACCAACCCCACCAATAATTGCTGCAAAAGCACAAATGGCACGACAGCAATCACCATCACCTGTTAGACAATCACCATCACCTGTAAGACATGTCAGAGCACCAACACCCTCACCAGTAAGGTAAACTTACTATTCTTTCCAACAAGATTGCTTTTTGAGTCGCTTCCATGTATAGCAGTAATGCTGTAGAATGAGAGCATAGTACAAAATGAAAGAATGCTCTGACTTAATACTGACTGAGTTTATTCTGACTGTGAACTATAATGTTCTATATTTGCCACTGCTATAGAAGTCCATGCCCCTTACGTAAATTTTCTATCCCATATGGAAGAAAATCCTTTAGAGCATAAATCCCATTTGGCTGCTCTACATACAGCTGAAGTAGCACTTAAAGCTCCAAGTTCATGACGAAAGAGAAGAAAACAGTAGAGCAGTTGGTCCTTGATTATTTTAGATGAACAGAAAAAAGAGCAATGGAAGAATATGTAAAAAACCATGAACATGTGTTCTCTGTGTGTGCTAGTAATGACTGCAGAAATAATGTTTTGAAGGCAAGATCAATGGAGTTATGGAAAAATGAAGTTTACCACTCTGTGTAAAGGATCTTGAGAGGGAAAGTGATTTGGAGCAGGGCTAGTGGGAGACCCCACGAGCTCTGTGCTGAGAGGCAGGTAAAGAGAAAATTGCTTTGGAAGTCCTGCAGTTTTAGCATCTTGAAGCACCAGCGCCATGGAAGGAAAGTCTCCAAGCTGAGTGCTCAGAAGAGCCCCATTTAAACTGCCAGAGTTAGGTACGCTGGGTGAATTTGGCCCCATTGAGAATCACTTGCAAGGACAGGAAGAAATGGATTGAGAGCAACTAACAATAACTAACAAACCACCTAGATGAAAGAATAATTCAATACTGACATCTAGAGTGCATATGGAACTAGAATTTTGTACTCCCCTGCTAGTCAAACCACTTGTAGACGTACAACACATTAGAAAATAAATCTAAACATTAATATGATGATGCTGCCCCCTACTGCTGCAATTTGTTAATGTTACCTGGGAAATACGGCATAAAAAAAAAATTCCTCTCAAAGCAAGTTTAAGTTAGAAAGCATTTTGAAAAAATGCTTTAAAACTGTCTGCTAGGACTGGGATTGAATTTTTGGAATATCAAAATTTAGAAACTAGCACTTTCGAAGTGGCTATCAATTATTGTGGCTGAGATTTCTAAATGTAAGTATGGGAAAAAATACAGGCCCTGATCAGAAGCTTGCCTGGAGTCTGAACACATGTATGGATGACACATGGAAATGAGATGTGGTGCAGGAGTAGATACAGTTGTGTTTTTGCTAGGTGGCTGCCACATGATATTTTACAAAGTGCATTTACACTAATCATTTTGTCTCTCTGCAGAGACTGGACCACAAATATAATATGTAATACCCACAGCCTGTAAACCTTTTATATTATGACTATTATGAGAATTAAGACAGAAAAAAATGGAAACTGATGATGTATTTTTATATTTTAAATATATGTGCTTGAGTGAAGTGCCCTTCGACATTTGCCCTTATTTCTTTTTGGAAATCTAACTAAGCTACTACAAAGATGAGTTACAGTTATGAGTATGACAAAAACACACAATAGGTATAATGTTAAAAACAGGTAAGTGTCATTTACAAGTAGAAGACCTCAAAAACGTTTTAAAAATCAAACTACAGAGTACTGAACATACCCTAAATGGGGAGTGAATTCAAGTTCAGGTTGAAGTAGTTTATATAGCTGTTGTTGTATGACATCAATTGCATTAATACTTTATTGTTTTCATTAGGTCAGTTTCCCCTGCTGGAAGAATCTCCACCTCACCTATTAGACCAGTGAAATCTCCATCTCCAATCCGTAAAACACATGTAGTGACAACAGCTGGGGCTGAAGTCCTTCCTCCTTGGAAGCAGGAAGGATATGCTGCAACCACAGAAGCCCAGATGAAGGAAACAAGAGTATCTACAAGCACTACCCAGATAAGAACTGAAGAAAGATGGGAGGGGAGATACGGAGTCCAAGAACAAGTTACCATTAGTGGTGCTGCTGCTAGTGAGGTTGCAGCCGGTGCTAGAGAGGTAAAGTCTATTTTTGGAAAGAGTATTGGTTTTGCTTTATGTGCGGACTCACCACTGCTGAATAGATCTGCTAAATGGAATTTGAGAGGCTGTGTATAAAAATGTGTGTATCTGCTGTTGAGAAATTTCTGCCACAAATACTTAAATGCGTATTTGCAACATTCTGTCTTTGTACTTGTTTTGTGCTTCTTCTGAATGTATGCAAAACATGAAAAAAATGTCTTTTGATGTGACTAATATAGGTGAGAAAGGACAGTGAAAAAACAGCAGCTGTTGCTACGGTTGTTGCTGCTGTGGATCAAGCCATGGTGAGAGAACCAGCTCCAGCTGTTGTAGAGCAAACTGCTAAAAGGACAGCAATGACTGCAGTCCACGTTCAACCTGTTCAGGAGCAGGTAGAAACAGAGCACAGACATTCTATGATTTGCCCTTTATCCCTTCATCCAACATGCAAACAAGGCATGATTCACTGTGAGGGATTAACAAGATATTACCCAGTGCACTGCAAAAGCATGCATACTTGTATAGAGCATCTGGACTGTAAAGGAATGCTCATGGATCACTTGTTCCATTGCTTTCCATCGTAGCAGGATTGAACTAATTACTCTTAAACTGTTTTTAACTTTAAGAGTGCCTTCTATGAAAGTGGTCCTGTATTCTCCCTCATCATTTATTCTCTAACATTATTCTTACACTGATGAAGTTTTTCCTCTAATATCTCATTTATAATTTCCCCACTAGCAATAAAATAATTCTCCCTTGGTATTCTTCCTTCACTTGCATTCCTCTCTTATTTTTCCTTCTCCTCTTCTTTTGATGATCAATTTGTTAAAATGAATTTTAAGGCTTTGGTTTTTTCTTTGTTATAAAAATCAGATGAGAAAGGAGGCAACGGTAGTAGCTACCACTGATAAAGCCACAAAACAAACAGTAATATCAAGAACTAGAGAAGGAATTGTTACTTCACAAGAACAAAGGCACATCTCTCATGAAAAGGTGAATACAGATGTTACCTATGCTTGTCATACCCTACCTTGTTCAAAAGTCTACTATCTCATCAAAAAGACAAGCCTATGAACAAGACAAATGACATACTGTAATATTATTTTTCCTTTTATATATGTTCACTCTTCTAGTTTACATTGCTGTCATTCTCCTATCTCTCCTTGATGATGACTGTATTTCCTCTTTTATTTCACTTCCATTATTAATACCTAAGAATGTGATAGATAAACTTGAAAAACATTAACTTAGAAAAAAATCTATTTTTTATAGACTGTGTGGTAATTTACTAGATAGTATTCTCAATCATTTAAAGAATTGAGATGTAGGAAATACCTCTTCAATTTTCCATTCTTTCTTTTCTGGTTTTGTTTCTAAGCTTGCTATTTGTAGCCTGCTTTGTTGGCAGCACAGTGGGTCAGAAAAAGGACAAACTCATTCTGCATTGCAATCAGTTTTGAAAATAGTGATGAGTGATTGGAATTCAGATTATTTTAGCATGTGTTTTATTAGACAAATGTGATTTAATGGAAGACCGGCTTTTATAGAGAAATGTTACATTTGCATTCTAGCTGAAATGCATGAGGAAGAAAGTGTAACCTATCTTTAAATTACCGAGAAACACAAATCCACCTGGGCAAAAAATCACATGCTTATGTGCAGATTACATCTGAACTTCTTGGCAAAGTGAAAGTTACCTAAAACTTGTTTTTAGTATCGTACACTTTCTCAAACTGATTATGATGCAGGACAGTTTTTCTCTGATCCAATTTTTTTAATTACTGCTTTCAGTAGTAAAGCAAGCATTTGTGGAATATTTTATTATTTTTATGCTAAATGTATATACGTTTTATAAAAAGTCTGTTCATGTTGTTATTGTTGTTTCCAGACTAGTTGATTTTGACATCCAGAGTTTGACATTTTTCCTCCCTTTCGGTTGTATCCTCTTTTCCAAACGTATCGAAAATCACATACCTCATATTATTAAACAAGATATCATTTAAACTTCTTTACTTGTAAACATCCAGGTAAGAAAAGAACCAGAGAAAACTCCAGTACCCACAGTGATAATTGCCACAGACAAAGTCAAAGAACAAGAACAAATATCAAGAGCTAGAGAAGAAATATCTACCAGACACGAGCAAGTGCACATTGCTCATGAACAGGTAAATAAATGTTACAGATGTTTAGCTCATTGTTATACTCTAATAAGTTTATAAAAATCTCATTCTTCATCAAATATGCTACATGTCTGCTCTGCTTCTTTATGAAGAGAATATTACAAAATCAAAACTTCGTAGAGCAAGGTATTCCAGATATAGCCCCAGCATTGCATGTCCAGCTCTTCTGACTTCATAGCAGCTCCATCTACAGAGGAAGAGTGCAGCTGCCCTTCCTACAGATCCTTTAAGCATTATGGCTTTTATTGCCAGGGTACTCAGAATTTCATCTGATGCTTAATGACCTTTGCTTTTTGTCTGAAAGTAGATTTCTGAAGATAAATTGTAAAGGTTATCTCTCATGATATGATATTAACATGTGGAGTTTGATTTAATGAAGTTTATATTTGTGTGAGGACTGAATGCATCTGCTAGACCATATTGTGGAACCATTCTCTGTTGGAGTAACCGATGAAATAGTTCCATCTACTGATGGGAGTAAATATTAAGTTAGTAACACTCATTTTTATGCAAACAGTTTATACAAAATGTAACAATGATATATCACAATTAACTAGGAAGTGGGAAGGTTCCTCTCTAATTCACACACAGATTAATGCAATATGTTAATGACTTTGTATGTACTTTGTTCAGATAGCATATACGATAGGCTATAACTTGGTCTGTACAAAGGAATTATTTCATTTCTCAGGTGATGTTTTTCTCTTCTTGATATACATTCTGAAACCTTATCCTACTTTCCCAAAAAGCTGTGTAATTTTGACAACAGACATAATCAATTACTGTTATTTTTCTTTACCATAAAAACTAGATAAGAAAGGAAGATATGAAACCTTCTGTACCTAAGGTAGTAATTACCACTGATAAACCTAAACCACCGGTCATAATATCAAAAAGTAAAGAAGGAATTGCTACCAAACAAGAACAAGTGAGCATAACCCATGAAAAGGTGAATAGCACTATTACAACCATATTTGGTGTTTTATCCTCTCTTCTTTACAAACCTTATGTGTCCCTCAAAAAATACTAACTATACATTTCCAGCTCATTTTTTTCTGAGATTTATTCCACTTACAAACTTTTAGAACTACTGTTAATTAGATTATATTATTCCACCTCTTTCTTTCTCTCCTAACTGTTTTCATTAATAAGATGCCCATAATTCTCTTCTGACTGACCTTTGGAATGGACTGACTCCTGAAATGCATTTAAGTTTGGGGTTTTTTTTTCAATCATTACTTTTATTTAAATAGGCATCAGGGTGTAACAATACTTACCAGTATACATATAATACAGAGATGTGTGCAGTGCACAAGCATCTAACCCCTTAATTCTTCTTTCTTGTTCCCATTCCAAAATGTTTTCCCATTGTTCAAATATTTTTCAAGATCATATGTAACTGAAACTTTTATTTCTGCTATAATTATTAGATTAAAAAGGAAGCTAAGAAAACTACTGTAGTTCCGAAAATAATTGCCACTGATAAAACCAAAGCACCAGTCACAGTGTCCAGAACTAGAGAAGAAATTACAGCCAAGCAAGAACAAATTCATCTAGCTTATGATCAGGTGAATATAGCTGTTGCAGATGTGAAATGCACTGTTACAGTTTGTTTTATCTGCAAACCTCACCTCTTAAGAGCTACTTGGGTACAATAGAATGCTCTCAAATCAATTTCTGATAGCATATCCGTTAAGGGGGATGATTGTCAAGTAACAGAGTTAGTGTGATTAAATTTCTAGTGATAAAGAGGATTATGTCTCACCCTGTTAGGAAATGCCACTTTTAAGACTACAGTCATATTTCTCTGTGAAAGCCTACTCCCTACCAATGGCTTTCAAGTAATGTTTACTTTTTCAAATTTCTGATTCTGCAATCTTTTTTTCGACAAGATGAGTCCTTGCAATTTTATGGCTGTCAGATGAAACAACCTCTCTCTATTAAGGTTTGAATTGTATTGTTCTTTGTACAACACAGACTTTAACATCCATTCAAGTCTGTCCAGTTTATTACTTCTGACAATCAGACACTTGTTGACACTGCTTTGTTCCAGTAGGACTTCCACAGTAGAAAAGCTTTTCTGTTATAATATAGCCAGCAACTCTCATATGTGGAAGAAAAGCATAGATGCCAAGAGCTTTTATTTAAAGTCTATTTATCTGCTTTGTTAGAAACATATGGTACATTCATAAAATACTTTTATAAAATATAATTAAAAGAGCGTAGCATATAAAACTCACTCAGAGGAGTCAGACTGCTAACAGATTACAGTTACTTGTTAGATTATGTAAATTTAGGGCCAAATTCAAGTTGGTAAAAACGATTTTAAAATCGGCAACGATACTGAATAAAAGGTTGCCTAAACACTACTTTAATAATAAAACAAAATCTCTGTAATTAATCACATTTTGGCCTCACTCAAGTTATTTTAGTTTAAGGTCATAATGGTTTTAAAATCAGCATGAAATTATCTATTAGTTTTTTTCCTATCTACAAGGCATACATTTCATATGTTCTGTTGCTATATCCAGATATATTACTGTTATTACTGTAATAATAAACACTAGTAGTAATCATCTTATGACCTACTGTTGGCTGACTGGGAAGAAATTTGGACCCTGATAACATAGAAGTTAACAGTATTTGTCAGGTATTAGAAACAAATAAAAGTCCTGATACAAATGCATTATTTCCAATTTCTCAGAGTGCTCAATTTTCCTTCTTTTGTAAAATCATTTAAAATACATTAGCACTGAATTAACAGATATGCCTGTGGTAAAAATTTTTATAGGTATATTCCTTAGTTAATACATTCACATCAGATGCTAGACACATCTCTACATTTTTTTAGTAGCATCTAACAGTTATATGGAGCTGATGAGCATACCAATTTTAAAATTATGTGCACATCTACATACCTGCCATACTCTTGATGTTCACATTAAAGCATTAAAAGTAGGCTTGCATACAAATATTGATATTAAAGCTGCACAAGCATAGATATGTTCTGAACATGCATGGATAGAACTTAGAAAAAATATGTCTATATTTGAATCTACTGACTCTGAAGTGTATTTATGGGTGAACACATTTGATGTTTACATCAAATAGGCCTATAGGAAAGATGCGGACAATCTTTTTAGCAAGGCCTGTTATGACAGGACAAGGAGTAATGGTTTTAAAGTAAAGGAGGGTAGATTTAGACTGCATATAAGGAAGAAATTTTTTACAATGAGGGTGGTGAAGCAGTGGAACAGGTTGCCCAGAGAGGTAGTGGAGGCCTCACACCTAGAAACATTCAAGGTCAGGTTGGCTGGGGCTCTGAGCAACCTGATCTATTTAAAGCTGCCCCTGCTCACTGCAGGGGGATTGGGCTAGATGACCTCTAAAGGTCCCTTCCAACCCAAAGCATTCTATGATTCTATGATTCATTATTACTTTTCATATCTATGCACTCTCTCTGTCTTGAATATAATTTACTGAGCATTATATTTGTAAGTATTTGCCAGATGTGCAAGCCTTTAATATAACAATGAATATTTGTATAAATTTTGCCAATGTTATCTGTAGACTGAAGCTGGAAAAAGGGCTGAAGCTGTAGCTACAGTTGTTGCAGCAGTTGATCAGGCACGTGTTCGATCACCCTGGGAACGAGAACAAGCAGATGAAGCCTATGTAAAGAAGAAAACTCTGGAATATGGCTATAAAGAGCACACTGTAACAGACCGTGTTGCTGAGGCCCCAGCAGAACGTCATGTTGTCACTAAAGAAGTTAAAACTGTCTATGTTCCTCCTGAGAAACATATCTCAGCTGCTGAAAAGAAGGAAGTTCATATTTCAACAGAGGTTAGACTCAGTTTACATTGCATTCTTTTCCAAAAACTATGTCCCATTGAAATCTGTTTCAGTTTGGAGAACAGCATCACATTCTCAACAACTTTTTTCATTGCTTTGTGTAGGTAAAAAGAGCAACAGAAACTAAGACTGAGAAAACAATTCATGTTGAACATCCGCGACCCCGCACAGCAAGTCCTCACTTCACAGTCTCCAAAATCGCTGTTCCCAAACCAGATCATACATATGAGGTAAGAAGTGAAAACTGTATCCAAGAAGAACAGCGTGCTCATTTATAATAACCAGCAGGTCACCCATTCCATTTGGTTTTCCTCTCAGTCCAGTATGGTGCTTTCCTAGGAAGAAGAAGAAGAGTTGTATGCTCTCTACAGTTGTTTTTGTTGGCTTATTTGACAGCTTTGTTGGCTTGTTTACAGCAGTGCTGTAAACAGACACATGAACTGCTAAGATGTGATTTGTAATTACTAGTTATTTAAACAAGCTTTTCATCTGTTTAAGGATGCAGCTTCAATACTTCATGTCATCCAGTGAAATCATAAAGATTTGTCATGCAGCTTATGTTTTATAAAGAGCAGAAGTATCCCTCTTCAATCTTATTATGTGAATCAGTTCACTAGCCCATTGGAAACAGTGCTTCTTTTTTCCTTGCAGATTACTAAGATAATTTTTGAAACAGAAAAAATCCAGACTGCATAATATGACACCATCCATTTTTAATGTAATTTTTTTCCTTCTTCTGGCTCCTTCACATAATATTAAAAGTTTCTGTTTAATTTTCTCATTCAAGCATACTTTCTCTCTTCACCTGGACTTTAAAAAGGAACTGTTTTTTCCCTCAAACATAATTAAACAGTATAAAAATTACCTAAAATTTCTTTCTCTTTAAAGATTTATGCATATTTTCCAGTTATTACACCTACAATAATGTTTTGAAATCTCTTTGGTTATTTTAATCACGACAGTTATGTAATTAGTAGTATTGTTTACTGCAGTATCAGACTGGTTAAATGAAAAGCTAAAGCCTCAAGTGAATAAATTTAGAGGACATTTCTCATGTTGCACTTAAGAGCTTCTTGACCATTTAAAGACCAAATTCTAAAGTAAAAACAGGAAAAAAATTTGAATGTTAGACACATCAAAAACAATACAAGCATATTATATCTCCAGTATTCTACTACTGTAATCTAAAACTAGAAGGCATTTTTGTATATATAACTTTTGCAGTGTCAACAAATAAGTAACTAAGAAAGCGATTGGTGCGTATGCAATTTGCTCGAGAAATATACTGCCTCCTTTGAAAACAAGAGAACAACAAAGCTATAACTCTTTCTCTTCTGTTCCCTAGGTTTCAATAGCTGGATCTGCCATGGCTACTCTGGAAAAAGAGCTATCAGCTACTTCCGCTGCGCAAAAGATCACCAAGCCTGTGAAACCACCTCAGCTAAAGCCACATGAAGTCAGGATAAAAGCAGAGCCAGTTGCCCCTCCACACTTTCCCTTTGGAGAGGCTGCTGAGACCTATAAAAGTCGCTATGATGTTGAGACTAAAAAAGAGACAGGTGTAAGCATTAAAGGTGAAGCAGTGAGGGAAGAACACTTGGTGTTGCGGAAAGAAGGTGAAGCAAAGGTATGTTATTAAGCAAATTTCCATCACTTTGACTGACTTTCATCTTGAAAACGTAGCATAGCCTCACTTGTTTGCTGTTTCCTCATCACGATTTTCCACTTTCATAGCATTCTGCTATATTTACACAAGTATTTCTAAGGACCCAAAATTTACCTATGACAAGCAAAGAGTTCTCTTACGTAATTTCTTTTCTTATCTAAATTCTGCTGTTTATGTCCTTGGCTTTGTTAGGTGTTTATTAACTGTGCTTTAAACAACCTAGGTGACAGAAACTGCCAGAGTTCCTGTGCCTGCCGAAATCCCTGCTACTCCACCCACCTTAGTCTCAGTAAGTAATTTGTATGTAGATTAGGGGAGTTACACTATGTTTTCACCCTTTTTATATTCTAACTTTTATCTTTGAAAACCTGACCACAAAAATTTGGCTTTATTTAATCTTTTTAATCCTGTATTAGACTTACTCAGCCATACAATTTCTCTCTCATACAAACTATTCTGAATGTCTGTTATGGGGGTGATTCTTCACAATTATGTCACATAGTAGTTTGACCTTTGCTGCAGTGAAACAATTTCTCACCATGATCTGCGTAAACATCAACCTACCTTTTCATTTTCTTGTTAATAATGGTAATGTTCAGAGATTCCAAGTCCAGTTTCAAACACTTCCCTTTAGAAAATGCTTCTTTTTTTCCTGGATACACTGCTGAACAGAATACTGTTTTGAAGTAGACGTTAAATTTTCCATTCAAATAGGTTTTTAGTTATTTAAATGTCTGTTTAGTAGTGAAAATGTATACTGACTGTGATACTTATCTTTTGTCATACAGGGCCTCAAAAATAAGACTGTGACTGAAGGTGAGTCTGTGACACTGGAGTGCCATATCTCTGGTCATCCTCAGCCTACTGTGACATGGTACAGGGAAGACTACAAGATTGAGAGCTCAATGGACTTCCAGATCACTTTCAAAGCAGGGCTTGCTCGCCTTGTGATTCGTGAAGCCTTTGCAGAAGACAGTGGAAGATTTACCTGCACTGCTACCAATAAGGCTGGGAGTGTCAGCACATCTTGCCACTTACACGTGAAAGGTAAGTATATTTATTACTGTAGGAAAATTACAATTTTGTTAACTGCATATTACTTGTAACTTAGACATTTTGTCAGCTCCCAAGTAGAACTATGCCTTGAATTGTATTCCAGGGCTGTTAGGTAACAAGGCTGTAAGAATATGAGGAAAAGGCCAGTTATGAGCCAATGGAGACTCTTAACTTGCTTCCTCAGTGGAAGTACCTGGCCCTCTGAGCCAACTAACTACTTAACCTTCTCTCTCTTTGTGTCAACTAAACTCACTGCTTAAGCACTATTAAAGTATTTTAAAATCCACTATATCATATTTGCCTTGCAGTTTCGGAAGAAATTGAGACTCGAGAAACCATTTCCGAGAAGGCTGTTACAGAAGAGAAACGGTAAAGTTACTTTCCTAAACAGACTGCTCCTACTGTGGTCACTAGTTTCTTGCACTCTGTTTATGAGAGCTTCAGACATCAGCTCACTTACCTGCACTGGAATCTTATTTCAGCTACGTGGAGACAAAGGACATTGTAATGGAAGATGTCTCTGCTGCAGCAGAGGAAGTATCAGGAGAACCCATACCTCCTTTCTTCATAAGAAAACCCATAGTACATAAATTAATTGAAGGTGGGAGCATTATTTTTGAGTGCCAAGTAGGGGGCAACCCAAAGCCACATGTCTACTGGAAAAAAGGTGGAGTTCCTTTAACGACTGGCTACAGGTACTTTGAATACAATGCACAAAAACTATTTAAACATAATTTTTAAGAATATTTAATTGAAAATACCATAATTTTGATTCCATTACTGATGCTGAGCCAAACATCATCACCGATTTCTGTGAAATTTGATTTTTGAAATGGAAAAATCATAGGATTGTGTCTTAATGTGACACTTTAGAAGGCTGCTAGGTTTTAAAATATGAATATTCAAAAGACCATAAAATAAGAAATGCTTCATATCCTTAAAAACAAATCAGGAAGAAGTTTTGCATTTGTTTTATTCTGTCTATGAAATGTTTGCATTCTGTCTATGCAAATGTTGTCTATAGAAAGCAACACACTTTCTAGTGAGAAAATAAATACATTTGTAGCATTCTTGAAATATATCATGCTATAATGACCCCTCTTAGGACCAACTATGTGCACAAAGCATTCTACTCTGTCTGATAACTAGATCTCTGATATTTCAGTACTGATGTTTGCATCCCATTTATTTTAGTGACAACAGAAAGTAGACTTGTACAATAGTTTCAGCATGGTTACTTTTCCTACACTGTTCTGCAGATTCATTGAGTGAAAGTTACCTGCAAAAGTTTCTCTTTTTTTGTCTTGTACAAGTCAGGAGTGATTCTGATTAATTTATATAACTTAAAGCAATTCACTAAAAAGTCTGTTCATCAGAGCTTGTACTTTTATGTTTTCTATAGATACAAAGTGAGTTACAAAAGAGAAACCGGGGAATGCAAACTTGAAATTTCCATGACTTTTGCCGACGATGCCGGAGAATACACTATTGTTGTTCGTAATAAACATGGAGAAGCTTCTGCAACGGTCTCCTTACTAGAAGAAGGTACATAGTAGTTTAAAGAAATGGGAAAAATATTTCTTAAAATTAACTTTAAAATGGGAAAAAAGATTTTAAATTGTGCTGCAATTCTTTGCAGCTTAGTTTGGTCAATTCAAGAAACATGAAACATAAAGGGAGATCTGGTGGCTCTGTTGCTGCAAGACAGAGTATTTGACATCGGGTTCTTGAAAGACTTATATTCTTTGCTAGAATGTGTAGCTATAGGAACCTTCTTCTGTTGACGTCCATAACAGTCTACATAACATACGACATTTAGGGAGTGATGTGGGGAAAGGAGGTTAATCAAGTAATAGGTTGTCCTATTGCAGGGAAAGAAGTTAAGTTAAATTTTTTTTCAATTGTCCTTGTAAAAATGCATGAAAGTTTGCAGGAGTCAGAGCCGTGGTGAAGAAATTGTAAAATAGTCTCTACCTCTACAGGCGCTTCGACTTTAAGAACTAGAACACCTAAATAGCACAGTAAAACTTTTACCTGTTTATAAAGCTCATCTGAGGGCATCAGTCTTTGTATTTTATTGCTGTTTGTATTTCATTGGTGAAACAGACAGAAACTCTGCTTGAATCACCAGAAACAGTAAAATAAGTTTATACCTGTTTTCTCTATTCAATCCAATGAAACCCACAAAAACTTATCAGAGTTAATGTGTTCTTAATTCTTAGCTGATTATGAAGCTTTCATAAAATCGCAACAAGAAATGATGTACCAAACTCAGGTGACTGCATATGTACAGGAACCTAAAGTGGCTGAGGTAGCCCCAGCTATTTCATATGGTGACTTTGAAAAAGAATATGAAAAAGAACAAGCCCTAATTAGGAAGAAAATGGCAAAAGATACAGTGGTGGTCAGAACTTTTGTAGAAGATGAGGTATGTCTACTACCCCACACTCATTTTGTATACTGATGTTTTACCAGTACAAATCACTTCTTTACAAGGTCATTATCTGACACACAGAACTAATGGTCTTGCTTTTCTGTATAGGAATTCCATATTTCTTCTTTTGAAGAAAGACTAATCAAGGAAATTGAACTCAGAATTATTAAGACCACCTTAGATGAACTTCTTGAAGAAGACGGAGAGGAGATGATGGTTGATATTTCTGAATCTGAAGCTATAGAAGCAGGATTTGATTTAAGATTAAAGAATTACAGAACCTTTGAAGGCACAGGAGTTACTTTTCATTGCAAGACGACTGGATATCCATTGCCAAAGGTACCCCAAACCTGTATGACACTAATCTATTTAAAAAACCATCTGGTCCTCTACTTGAAAAGTGCCTTAACATCTCATTGTCAGGCATTTTACATTCTGCATAGAAAACAGCATATCTCAAAGGAAATCCAGTCTTTAGTTTTTATATCAAGCTGAACTTCTATTTCATCCCTTAATAGAATAGTGTTAGGTTGGTTAGCCAGTTCAGGGGTAGGTTAGATTTACCAGTTAAGTTGGTCTTGCTTCTGAGTATCTCCAAGTTAGCCCACACAAGTGGGTAACATAGTAGCAAGGCCAGTCTAGGTTACTTTGCTCGTCGTCAAAATGGGCTTTATATCAGGTTCTAGCTCCAAAAATTGTGTTTCAGGCTACTGTGAAAGCATGTTACTTTAATCTTACTTATTTCACGTAAAAATGTTAATGTTACCACATACACATGGGCTGTGACGATGCATCAGCTGAAAAATAGGAAGTTGTAATATGTTGTATGCATGAGTCATTACTAGATCTTTGTCTTTAGGAGAGCTGATATAGCATTCCACTGTTTCTTTCCATGCAGATTGCATGGTACAAAGATGGTAAACGCATAAGGCATGGAGAGCGCTACCACATGGAAGTTCTGCAAGATGGCAGTGCCAGTCTGCGTTTGCCTGTTGTTTTACCTGAAGATGAAGGAATTTATACTGTCTTTGCCAGTAATATGAAAGGAAATGCCATTTGCTCAGCAAAACTCTATGTTGAGCCAGTTGCACCCACAGCAACTCCAGGGTATATGCCAGGACCAGAAGTTATGAGAAGATACAGGTAGGTACACATTAATATATAAATTTCATGAGACTTCACTCTGCTGTGATAGACAGTCCAAAAACTCATTACACAGCAGCTAAACAGCTTAAGTTATTGGAGTCTGCATATCTCTAGAGAAGTTCTAAATGCTGTTTTCATGGCTTATATTGATTTATGTGCCAACTCTTTGTCTGATTTGCCTTCTAAATGAGCAATGCAGGTCCCACCATTCACATGCATATCCAGCCACAGTATCAGATTTACAACCTCAGCAACCATATTTATTTCTTAAAGTACTCATGTTTTGGAAAAAAAAATCCTCTGCACTTGGAATTTTAGTACTGTGTGCAACTCTTACTTCCCACCCTTGAAATAGCTGTATTTCTATGACAGAGAAAATCCAGTGTTGCCATGTACTGTGTTCTGCCTCCATGTACATACACACACATGCACAAATGTACACAGGATTACATCCACATCTGTACAGTATCCAAAACCCCAAAATTTTCCTGGATATGGTGTATCCTAATATTATTCAGCTATACAAATAGCTGTCAAAAACCTAAAGAAAATTGACTACAAATAAAAATTAATTTTGTCTCAATTTCTCACCTGGATAAATTAGTTAACCTCTTTAAAATAAATTATGCTAAAGGAAAAAGTTGAACTCTGTTTATCATGTCAGACCACTGCTATATGACATTGTCATACACATCTGTTTTATCTTTTCCTTCCAGGTCTATTTCTCCACGGTCTCCAAGCCGGTCTCCTGCCCGCAGTTCTCCTTCTCGTTCTCCTGCCCGCAGACTAGAAGAAACTGATGAAGGACAACTAGAGAGACTGTATAAGCCAGTTTTTGTGCTGAAACCTACATCGTTTAAATGTTCACAGGGGCAGACAGCAAGATTTGACTTAAAAGTTGTTGGCAGACCTATGCCAGAGACATACTGGTTCCATAATGGTACATCAGCCTCATTTTCATCCACAAATAGTCTTAAAAACCAATCTTATATGCATTTTACACCTTATTGAGACAGTGTTTTGAGTGCAACTTTTTTTTTTTTCCATGTGTGTCTGCAGGTCAACAAGTGGTTAATGACTACACCCATAAAATAGTGATTAAAGAAGATGGCACCCAGTCATTGATCATTGTTCCTGCTATGCCTGATGACTCTGGAGAATGGGCTGTAATTGCTCAGAATAGGGCAGGCAAAGCTTCAGTCTCAATGACACTGACTGTGGAAGGTATCTACCGTGCATGCTATTTTTAGGAGGCTGGGGAGTGTTTCTTATTAAAAACCATGGTTATGTCATTTCCTCTTGTGATAACTTACCTTCGTCCTTTCAGCTAAGGAAGACCTAGTCAGACCACACTTTGTGGAAAGGCTGAAGAATGTTAGTGTAAAGGAGGGCTCTAGATTGGAGATGGCAGTGAAAGCTACTGGTAACCCTAATCCTGACATTGTATGGCTGAAGAACAGTGACATCATTGTACCTCATAAATACCCCAAAATAAAGTAAGCATTTTTATTTTGTTTAAATAGTAAAGGAGTTAATAATCACCATCCTGGGAAGTGCCTCCTACAGTGTGCTGAATACCCTTGCTTGCATAGAAGGGATTCATAAGGACTTAGTCCAATGGCTGCTGAAGCTACTAACAGCTTCTGCATTGCAGCAAGGTTAAGAGATATAAAGTATCTTGTAGGACTCACTCCATTTTTTTCCAGCTTGTGTATTTGTGTATTTTGTATTCTGCAAAGCCAATGCTTTTACAACAGAGATTTAGGGAACGTTTATCTGTCTCTGATTTCAAAGTCCTCTGCAGGCAAAACTGCCATTGAATTCAAGACTGGTTTTTATTATCCTTATCTGTTTGATTCTTAGGCACTACACTCATAACATGAATAAACATAAACAACATGTCTAATTCCTCCAGAGATTTGTCTTTGGAGGCTCTGACCTAATTTTGGAGAAGGGCAAAAATGAATAACAAATAAGTGCAAAAAAGTTAAAAGAAAATTGTTTTAATATTTCAGGATTGAGGGAACCAAAGGGGCAGCTGCCCTTAAAATTGAATCTACTGCCCGGCAAGATGCTGCATGGTATACTGCTACTGCTATCAATAAAGCTGGGCGGGACACTACTCGGTGCAAAGTAAATGTTGAGGTTGAACATGCAGAACCTGAACCAGAAAGGAGATTAATCATTCCAAAAGGAACTTACAAAGCCAAGGAGATTGCAGCACCAGAGTTAGAGCCTCTCCATTTGCGTTATGGTCAAGAGCAATGGGAGGAAGGAGATCTCTATGACAAAGAAAAACAACAGAAACCATTTTTTAAGAAGAAGCTCACATCTTTAAGGCTCAAGCAATTTGGACCAGCACACTTTGAGTGCAGGCTTACACCAATTGGTGACCCAACCATGGTGGTGGAGTGGTTGCATGATGGTAAACCCTTGGAAGCAGCTAACAGACTCCGTATGATCAATGAGTTTGGGTACTGTAGCCTAGACTATGGAGTAGCCTATTCCAGAGATAGTGGAGTGATCACTTGCAGAGCAACTAACAAATACGGTACAGACCATACATCTGCTACTCTGATTGTGAAGGATGAAAAAAGCCTTGTGGAAGAATCCCAGTTGCCAGAAGGCAGAAGGGGACTACAGCGAATTGAAGAGTTAGAAAGAATGGCCCATGAGGGTGCTCTTCCTGCAGTTGCAGTGGACCAAAAGGAAAAACAAAAACCAGAAATCGTTTTGGTTCCTGAACCTGCAAGAGTCCTGGAAGGTGAAACAGCACGATTCCGCTGCCGTGTGACTGGCTATCCTCTGCCCAAGGTCAACTGGTACCTCAATGGACAGCTCATCCGTAAGAGCAAAAGATTTAGACTCCGTTACGATGGAATCTACTACCTGGATATTGTGGACTGCAAATCATATGACACAGGAGAGGTGAAAGTAACTGCAGAGAATCCAGAAGGCTTTATTGAACATAAGGTGAGGCTTGAGATCCAGCAGAGGGAAGACTTCAGATCTGTTCTTCGTCGTGCTCCTGAACCCAAACATGAGCCTGTAATGACAGAACCTGGAAAACTTCTCTTTGAGGTACAGAAGGTAGACAAACCTGCAGAGGCAACAACCAAAGAAGTGGTGAAACTGAAAAGGGCTGAAAGAATCACTCATGAGAAGCTTTCAGAGGAATCTGAAGAGCTGCGTAGTAAATTCAAGCGTAGGACAGAAGAGGGTTATTATGAAGCCATCACTGCTGTAGAACTTAAGTCTCGCAAAAAAGACGAATCATATGAGGAAATGTTAAAAAAGACAAAAGAAGAACTTCTGCACTGGACCAAAGAGATCCCAGAGGAAGAGAAGAAAGCACTTCCTCCTGAAGGCAAAATCACCATTCCAACTTTCAAACCAGAGAAGGTTGAGCTTAGTCCAAGCATGGAGGCTCCCAAGATATTTGAACGAATTCAAAGCCAGACTGTAGCCCAGGGGACAGATGCACACTTCCGTGTGAGAGTGGTGGGAAAACCAGACCCTGAGTGCCAGTGGTTCAAAAATGGTGTGCAGATTGAAAGGACTGATCGTGTGTATTGGTACTGGCCTGAAGATAATGTTTGCGAATTAGTCATCAGAGATGTGACTTCTGATGATTCTGCCAGCATCATGGTGAAAGCAGTCAATATAGCTGGTGAAACTTCTAGCCATGCTTTCCTGTTAGTACAAGGTAATTTAAATTCCCTTACTTTTATGCTATCATAGTGTGTTAAGTCTATATGGCCAGTGCACTGTTGATTCATTGCATATCGTTTTGCAGCCAAGCAGTTAATCAGCTTCACCCAGAAGTTACAAGATATTGTTGCTAAAGAGAGAGACTCCATGGCAACGTTTGAATGTGAGACATCAGAACCCTTTGTCAAAGTGAAATGGTTTAAAGATGGAATTGAGATTCACTCTGGAGATAAATACAGGATGCACTCAGACAGAAAGGCTCATTTTCTTTCTGTACTAGCAATTGAAATGTCTGATGCTGATGACTACAGCTGTGCACTGGTGGAAGATGAATCCATAAAAACTACTGCAAAGCTTACTGTTGAAGGTAAGAAGCACACAGCTGAATACCATGCAGTACTGTTAAAGTGAAATCAGCTTCAGGAAGAAATAGAACAATTTAAACTGATGTCTAATGCACTAAGGAATGTTCAAGCTACTTTCACATTCTGAGAATCCAGTATGAAAGTTTGGAGCTATACTTATGTAAAAAGGTTACACCATATATATATTAATTTCCTTAGGCTCATTTAGTAAGAAATGTTTTCATCACGAGTATCTAATCAAGCTTATTCATAAATGTAATTATTTTTGCCTGTAGGTGCTGTGGTTGAGTTTATTAAAGAACTTGAGGATGTTGAAGTACCAGAATCCTTCTCAGGTGAACTTGAATGCGAGGTTTCCCCAGAAGATGTGGAGGGGAAATGGTATCATGGCGATGTTGAACTCACTTCTAATCATAAATATGTGATTGCATCCCGCCGTGGTCGTCAAATCCTCACTATTAAAGATGTTAATAAAGATGATCAAGGAGAGTATAGCTTTGTTGTTGACGGAAAAAGGACTCATTGCAAACTGAAGATGAAGCGTAAGCATTTCTAATACTTATACTGTCTCTATATTATAGCATCTCTCTATATTATAGCTACATCACTATATTCCATACTGCCTTAATATTCAATATTCTGCTTATCTGTTGTGACGATTAATTAACTTCATTTCATTCCACAGCTCGTCCAATGGTTATTCTTCAAGGACTTACTGATCAAAAAGTCTGTGAGGGAGATATTGTACAACTGGAAGTTAAAGTCTCCCTAGAAAATGTGGAAGGTGTCTGGATGAAAGATGGTCATGAAATTCAATCAAGTGATCGTATTCACATTGTGTTGGATAAACAGTCACACATGTTGCTGATAGAAGATGCAACAAAGGAAGATAGTGGAACTTACTCTTTCAGTGTTCCTGGTCTTGGACTCTCAACCACTGGACGGATCACAGTGTACAGTAAGTCATTATCATGATTTTGAAGGTGTGTTTGATTTTGGGGTCCTTTAGGATTACTTCTTAAAGGCATAGTTTTTTCATTATGAATATTTTTGTAACTTGACAGGTGTGGAAATAGTGGTACCTCTAAAAGATGTTCATGTAGTCGAAGGAACAAAAGCTATTCTCGAATGCAAAGTTTCAGCACCTGATGTGTCTTCCTCCAAATGGTACCTAAATGATCATCAGATAAAGCCTGATGAACGTGTACAAGCTGTATGTAAAGGCACTAAACAGAGGCTAGTGCTTACCAGAACCCATGCTTCAGATGAAGGACATTATAAGCTAATGGTTGGCAAAGTTGAAACAAGTTGCAATGTCACAGTTGAAAGTAGGTTTCCTTTAAGATGCACAGTTCTTTGTGAAATTATTTCTTTAAATACAAAACTGTGGAAGCAACTAATATATTTGTAATGTATTCTTTTTATAGAAATTTGGATTATTAGAGGTCTTCATGACATCACCTGCACTGAAACACAGAATGTATCCTTTGAGGTCGAGCTCTCCCATTCAGGGATTGATGTAATTTGGCATTTCAAAGGCCAAGAGATCAAGGCTGGTCCTAAATATAAAATTGAAGCACATGGCAAAACATACAAATTGACAGTGGTGAAGATGATGAAAGATGATGAAGGAGAATATGTATTTTATGCTGGAGAGAAGAAAACATCTGGAAAGCTTATAGTAGCAGGTTAGTAGGGTTAAAGTCCAAGATTTTTATTTCACTGTGATTTAAAAACAATGCTCAAAGTACTGTATTTTGTAATGGTAGCAATTGTGCTGTTTCTGTGCTTTTCTTGTCTGTACCTTTTTCTCTGTTCTCCTTGCTCTTCCCCTTATCTTTTATGATTGGTATAATTTGAATTCAATAAAGCTTTTACGTAAGTGCTTATATATTTTGCTAAATCAGAGCCATAGTATGGGATGCTGTAGGATGCTTTTGACGTACTTAATGCAGAAAAAAACCTTTTTTCTCTTGAATATTCAGTATACCTTTGCTGATAATAAATGAGAATAACTAGGATAGAAGTAAGAAACATCTTTTTGTGATGTTCAGGTCACATTCTATTCTTGATTTTTCACAGAACTCAGAATGTATAGGGGCATGCTGCAAATTAGGGCAAAGAATTCCAGCACCAACTTTCCACGTGGTTGCATTTCTGTAGGGGGGAAAATTGAACAGCAACACAACACACGCATGTGTTTTTTCTTCCCAACAGGTGGTGCCATTTCAAAGCCTCTCACTGACCTAACTGTGGCTGAGTCCCAGAAAGCTGTTTTTGAATGTGAGGTGGCAAATCCTGAATCAGATGGCCAGTGGCTAAAAAATGGTAGACCATTACCTCTGACAGATCAGTACCGTGCTGAATCTGATGGTGTAAAGAGAAGGCTCAACATCCCTGCCACGAAACTGGATGATATGGGTGAATATAGCTATGAAATAGCAAGCTCAAAGACATCTGCCAAACTGAAGGTTGAAGGTCAGTATTTTTTATAACTAACGGAGGTCTTTAAAACTCAGTCCAGCATCACTCACTATGTCTTGGATCAGGCCCTAAGGTACAAGCATATTTTGCTTCACTTTCTGAAAATATTCTTATATAATGATGCACTTTCTGAGGTGGCAAACTTACTGTATTTTGGAGTATCTGTATTTGGAATTTAGCCTGGTATTTTAATAAAAACACATTTTATTAAAGGTACGGGCTAGCAGGTAGAAGTTCACTCTTTGCTAGTTGTGTTTAGTAAACATATCAAATAAAAAAACCCTTTTCTCATGGATGCTACAAGTAAATGTTCCTTTTTGTGTTCCAAGCACACCACTTCAGTGGAAATGGTATAAATCAATATATACATACTAGATTTTAAAATGAAGCACCATGATTCAGTTTTATTAGGATTATTGTATTTACTATAATTTCTAATTTTGGTCTGTCTTTTTTTTCCCTAGCTGTTAAGATAAAGAAGACACTAAAGAACTTGACTGTGACAGAAACACAGGAGGCAGTTTTCAGTGTAGAACTGACCCACCCTGATGTGAAAGGAGCTCTGTGGATTAAAAATGGTGTTGAACTTGAATCAAATGACAAATATGAAATTTCAGTGAAAGGAACTGTTCACACACTGAAAATCAAACACTGTGTTGTCACTGATGAGTCTGTTTATAGCTTTAAGCTTGGAAAGATAGGAGCAAATGCCAGACTTCATGTGGAAAGTAAGTCAATCTGGTTTGAATATTTGCTTTAATGTGTGGTTTGAAATTCAAATCAAACACGCTGCTGAATCTTGCTAACTTTTTTTCTCAAGCTGTCAAGATCATCAAAAAGCCGAAGGATGTGACTGCTTTGGAAAATGCTGTTGTCTCCTTTGAACTGAGCGTATCCCATGATACTGTACCAGTCCGATGGTTCCACAAAAATGTTGAGCTTAAACAAAGTGATAAATACAAGATGATCTCTCAAAGGAAAGTTCACAAACTTATGCTACATAACATATCTCCTGCTGATGCTGGGGAATACACAGCTCTTGTTGGGCAAATTGAGTGTAAAGCAAAACTGTTTGTGGAAAGTAAGTATTGTAAGTTTGTAAGAATGTAATTGTATGAATTGCTACACCAACTCATATTGAACAACTTGACCTGACATTTCATAGCCTTTTATCCTTGCTTTTTTTCACTCTTCCACACATACTGACTTTTAAAAAATGCTTTTTTTTTTTGTCCTGTTTTTTTTCCCCTATTAGCCATACACATCACAAAGACCATGAAAAATATCGAGATCCCTGAGACCAAAACTGCCTCTTTTCAATGTGAAGTTTCTCATTTCAATGTGCCTGCTGTCTGGTTGAAAAATGGTGTGGAAATTGAAATGAGTGAAAAGTTCAAAATAGTGGTCCAGGGGAAACTCCATCAGCTCAATATCATGAACACAAGCAGTGAAGATTCTGCAGAATACACATTTGTTTGTGGAAATGACAGAGTCAGTGCAACTCTGACCGTAAAACGTATGTAAAAATGAAATTAACCAGAATATTTTACAGTTACCAATAATAGAGTTTGTGTTAATACATGTACTGGGTGCAATTCAGACAAAACCAGCACTGTTGCAGAAGTATTTTCAAATAACCCTAAACAGCCTCAATTACATTTTTAAAAGAGAACTAGAAGCTGTGAACGTGAAAGTCAGATCCTGGATTCTTCTGTTTGGGCCAACATGCCTAAATGTCCAGTCACCATAGGAGACAGAATTTTGATTCCTATGTCATTCAGAAGTTTGGGGAAATTTAATTGTAGTATGGATTCTGGACACAGAGCCTTCCTTTTAATATTACCAAAAAATCAGAATCTGTCTTAAAAGACTTTTAAACATCTCTGATCCAGTTAACATGTGTTTTAAATAAAGCAAAACAGAACAAAAGGTCCCAAACCATGTCCGTTTCTTTTCTTTTAGCCATCCTAATTACCTCCATGCTAAAAGACATCAATGCTGAAGAGAAAGATACAATAACATTTGAAGTTACTGTTAACTATGAAGGTATCTCATATAAATGGCTAAAGAATGGGGTAGAAATAAAATCGACTGATAAATGCCAGATACGAACAAAGAAGCTCACACACTCCCTCTCCATAAGGAATGTGCATTTTGGTGATGCTGCAGAATACACTTTTGTTGCTGGAAAAGCAGCTTCATCAGCCACTTTATATGTGGAAGGTATTTGCCCTCTTCATTTGTATATTTAGTGACTTCTAGTGGCTTAAATAACATCATGGTACTCATTCTACTTTTTTCCTGCCCTAGCTCGTCACATTGAATTTAGGAAGCATATTAAAGACATCAAAGTTGTGGAGAAGAGGAGGGCTATTTTTGAATGTGAAATTTCAGAACCTGACATTCAGGTCCAGTGGATGAAGGATGGACAAGAACTCCAGATTGGTGACAGGTAAATGATTACTTCTACACCATATTGACTTTTGTTATGTACTTTTCCCCCAGGAAATAACTTGCTCGTTTTCTTTTCTGATGTACTTAGGATGAAAATTCAGAGAGAGAAATATGTCCATCGTCTCATCATTCCTTCCACAAGAATGTCTGATGCTGGTCAATACACTGTAGTAGCAGGTGGAAACACATCCAGTGCCAATTTGATAGTGGAAGGCCGTGACATTCGTATCAGAAGCATCCGTAAAGATATTCAGGTATGGCCTATACAGAAGAATAAATATTTCATAACTTTGTCACTCAAAGAATAATGCAAAGGAAGAGCAACAATATCTAACCAGCATGAGTCCTAACACAAAAATCTGTAATCATAAGGTCAGGGCCTTCTTCTAGGAAACTGGAATGTGGGACCATCTGTAAAAACAAATACTATTTCTAATATTTATTCTCCTTAATCAAAGGTCATTCAGAGACAAAGAGCTGAAATTGAATTTGAAGTCAATGAAGATGACATTGAACCACAGTGGTACAAGGACGGTATTGAGATTAACTTCCAATATGAGGAAAGATATAGTTATGTGGTGGAAAGGAGAGTTCATCGAATGAGCATCTTTGAAACCACTTACTCTGATGCTGGAGAATATACTTTTGTTGCAGGACGGAATAGGAGTTCTGTTGTTCTCTATGTGAATGGTATGTGTCCCTGCAAACAATGTTTTGACTGTATTTATTACCCTGTGTTTTTTGTTTTTCTGATTTCTATATAACTTTTCTGGAATTCTAACTCTGAAAGTAAAAAAAAAAAAAAAATATCCAAAGAGAATCTTATGTCTGGAACACTACCAAAATCCTCATGTATGTGGATGTTTCTCTACTGACATAGCTGGCTAGCTGATGAAAATGCTGTAGCAGTTCTTTTTCCCACTGTATTTATTTAGAACAGGAAATTCTCAGGTCCAAATAAAACTAATTTGTTCATATGGACAAATATGCCTTGCCAGAGGGATCAACCTAAGAATTCTTGGACACATTTTGCTAGAAAACACTTACACCAACACAGCTAATTATGTTAAGGCACTGGCTGCTAGATCATTCCCCCTGTATCAAGGAAAAGGGCAGATTTTCATGGGCATGCAAGATTGGGAATACTAAAATTTAAAAACCCAATAGATTCCTTGCTAATATTTTTGAAGCCTTGATAAATATCAATAATGAGATTTCTCTCTCTTCTTCTTTCTCCCCTCCCCTCTCCCCGCCTTTTGCCTCACCCCCCACCCCCCGCCTCCAATTTGCAGCTCCAGAGCCACCCCAGATTATTCAGGAGCTAGAGCCAACCACTGTGGAGTCTGGCAAACCTGCCCGCTTCTGTGCTATGATATCAGGCAAACCACAGCCCAAAATTTCCTGGTACAAAGATGATCAACAGCTTTCTCCAGGTTTCAAGTGCAAATTTCTTCATGACGCACAAGAATATACTCTATTGCTGATTGAAACGTTCCCTGAAGATGCAGCAGTGTACACTTGTGAAGCAAAAAATGACTACGGAGTTGCTACAACTTCAGCTTCACTTTCAGTGGAAAGTGAGTTTCCTGTGCTCATAACAATGCCTTTGAAATGAGATTGTCAACACGTGTGTGGTGATCTTCATCTTTAAAAATTACTTCTTCTTTTTCTTATCCTTTAGTCCCAGAAGTTGTTTCTCCTGAGGTAGAAGTGCCAGTGTATCCACCTGCTGTCATAATACCACTACGTGATGCTGTTACATCTGAAGGACAGTCTGCTCGTTTTCAGTGCAGAGTTACAGGGTCAGGTGAGTTTAATGAAATCCTGTACATCTCTTCATCTCTCAGAATTTTTCGTCTTGAACTCAGAAGAAATGCAACAGTATTTGT